AATAAAACATTGGGAGAAATTGATAAAGAAGAGAATAGTTTCTTTTCACTTTTTTTTTTGTAGTTTTCTATTCTGTTTTTTAAATTTATTTTTTCAGACAGTGTTTTCTCTGTGTGACCCAGGCTGTTCTTTAACTCATAGGTAGCCCATTAGGTAGCCTATTGACCTTGAACTCACTATACAGCCCAGGCGTACCTTGAATTTGGATCCTTGGAACTCTACCTCCCTAGTGCTGAGATTACAGATTTGCACCACTGTACCCAGCCTCTGTTTTTTTTTTCATTTTTTTAAACTCTTAATATTTATTATCTAACTTAAAAGATAACTCTAATTTGCCATGATCCAGGTGTGTCAATGTTATCCCTCTTCCAAAAGAGGTCAGCACTTCTGCACCAGAATCTTCTTCAGCCTAGTTTACAGTAACACGTAACTCAGATTTATTTTGCCATTTAGCTATTTTACTTTTGCAGTTTTATTATGTAAGATTTATGAATTAAAAGACTGGCTCACTTCCCATCTGAACTTAAGTAATTTGGTGCTTTTTAAAGGTGAAGATAGTTAACCTAGTGGTTGAGAGTGAATTTTGAATTCACTTTATCTGCATTCAAGTCCTACTTTATAATTTCTGTGTGTATAATCCTTGAGTTATTAATTTCTGTCACTTTTAGTTTCTCATATGTAAAATGGTGATACATTTTTTATAAAATATTGGAAGATTAAAGAGTAGGCCCAGGTAAAAGTATAACATGCCTCCTAGTACCTAGTAAGCACCAAGTAAATATACTGTGGACTTTAGGGTATCATATGTTATCGCAATATTTCATGCGGTATTGTTTTGTTTAAATATGTTTCTAAAATTATATCTGGCTAGAATATAACTCCACAAGAGTAACAGTGTAGGTCCCAATATTCTTAAATCAGTGTGTAGCTTTAACCACTAGGTGGTGATACTTGATTGTCTAAATATAAAGGCTCTAATTTTCTCTATTAGAATGTATGTATACACAAGTATAACTAGACTTGACCTGTTTAATTAAGTTCTAAAGGGCTGGGGTTAAGGCCTTGTGGAGCAGACTCCAACTGGTGAAGGAACAGGGTACTAGTAAAAGCCTGCACATGAATTGTTTTTCCTTATTTCCCAATAATGGACTGTTTCATAAGTTTCACAAAGTGTGTGATCATATGTGTGTGTTTGTGCAGCTTTTGCTAGTTTAACTTGGTATTGTATTTATTCTCCTTATTCCTCTTTTCTCCTCATTCTTGATTCCCTGGGGATCCTACCACTAGCACAGAGATGGCTAGCAGGCATTGGCCTCAGGCTCTGTTTTATTTTTTTATTTTTATTTATTTTTTGGGGGGGTCCGGTTGTGGGGCCTGAACTCTGGGCCTGGGCACTGTCTCTCAGCTCTTCAGCTCAAGGCTAGTGCTCTACCACTTGAGCCACAGCGCCACTTCCGCCTTTTTTCTTTTTGCTTATGTGGTACTGAGGAATGGAACCCAGGGCCTCAGGCATGCAAGGCAAGCACTCTACCACTGTGCCACCTTCCCAGCCCTCAGGCTCTGTTTTATATATCACCCAAAATACAAATCATCCGTAATTTTTTTTCTTTGGATTTTCTTCCTGTCCAGTTCACCTTCAGTTAACTTTACCTTTTTCACATATTCTAAATCTTTTTTCACCTCGGTTTTCACTGTTTATTTTCTTAATCTATGGTAATCTGTTATCGTCTTGTAACTGTTGTTTCCTATGCACATTTTTATATTCTTAGGATCCATTTTCCTCCTCTGGCCTTAATTAATCTTCTAAAGTGTAAATGAATTAATCTCTCAGTTGTTTAAAAAAATTGGGTTTTCCCCACACACTTACATTAAATCTACATCTGTAACTATGGCCTATTAGATTTTCTGTGATCATAACTTTGATTCACTCCTCTGACCTCTTCCTTCTCTTCCTTCTTATTGTAGCCTTATAGATTGTTTCCTTGCTTTAGAGAATGGAATGCTTGATCCTGCCTTGGGCTCTTCCATTGTTGAGAATGGACATTCTCCAGATTTTAGATGACCACCCTTTGTTGTTTTGTAAGTCTCAGCTCAGGTGCCTTTCTAGAGCAGTCTTTTCCTGATCATTGTTCTGAGTCATTACATTGGTCATTACTATCACATCTTTCCATTTACTTTTTAAATCCTACCAGTTATATTTGAACTTTATGTCTTTCTTACCCTCTGCTCTTCTTACATACATGTACTTTAGAAAGTAAGATCTAGAAATATAATAAGGATCTTCTATATCTTGTTGAATGTAGCATTCTAAGTACCTAGAATGTCGCCTGGCCCACAGAAAGTACTGTGTAAATATTTGTTAAATCAATAAGTTGTTAACTATATAGCTCATTAAATTTGAAGCTATAGATAAATCTAATTTGGAGCAGAATAGCTAAGCACACTGGCATGCTATCTAACTTTCTTGTCTTGATCACCAGCTGTTCTTTGCCTTATTGTAGGATATTTATTATCTTACTTGCCCTTGTATAACCCCTGGGACTGACTATTCACCTTGCTTCCTTCCTTGTGTTCATTCAATTGAATACTGTAAGGTTGTCTTTAAACTGGCTGAATCAGACTGTGGTCATTTATTAACTACAGTGACTTTAAACCAAGTGTTTATCTTTCAATGCTTCCTATCCAGCAGCTGCAACAGGGCTGTGTCTTTTTAGTGTGTTCCAAACTGAAGTTGAATTAAGAGATATGCTACGTGAGTTATGAGAGACCATTGATTTATTACATGCCAAGTTTCCTATGATCCTGTGGAAGAACAAAGGGGTGCCACTGGAAAGTAAACCAGAGAGAAGAATGAAAGAAGAGAGCAAGCCAATTTTATTTAGCCACATCTCTGTTAACAGCATTGGTTATGTTTTTAAAATAAAAGCAGTGGAGCAGGGCACTACTGTCTCATGCCTGTAATCCTAATCACTCAGGAGGCTGAGATCTGAGGATCAGGGTTCAAAGCAAACCCAGGCAAGAAAAGTGCATGAGACTTTTATCTCCAATTAACCACCAGAAAACTGGAAGTGATGCTGTGGCTGAAAGTGGTAGAGAACTAGCCTTGAGTGAAAAGCTCAGGGACAGTGCCCAGGCCCCAAGTTCAAGCCCATGACTTCCTCCCCCAAAATAAAAAGTTTCAGGGAAACAGATATAAGAAATGATCCAAGAGAACAAGAGAAGATAATACATAATAGGACTATGACAGATATGATTGATACTGTGACAGATGGTTTTAGTTGTTTACAACCCTGACACTTGGTATAAGTGCTTAAATTCATGGAAATAGGAGCTGTGCTCCTAAGCATTGAAAACTTAGGGTGGTGGTAGTTTATTTTATTTTTTTAAAAAAAGGGTTTCAGAGTTGGCATGAGGTGTATTAAGGTAAGCTTGAGATATACTAAGATTGAACTGTCTGGGAGTCTGGGTATAGATATTTGTTGACTGGCTCTGAAGCTTAAGAGAAAGACTGGTTGGGAAAAACAGCAATGACTAGGTGGTAGTGGAAGTCATTTACATATTGGTTTTGTGATTTCAGTCATTCTTTAGTTTATCATTGTGAATGGATTAATATAGTTCTTTCCCCTATAGACAAAGAAATTTAAAACTGGTGCATCATTATAAAATTTCCTGGCTACTTTATAAACAGTTATCTCTTGTCAGCTAGGTTTTTGTAGCAGGACCCAGGGTTACAAGTGGGTTGTAAATTTCTAGGAAAAGTACTTTATAATATTTCTAAAATGAATGAGAATATATTATGATATTGGAGTGAGTAGAAAAAGAAAAAAATATTTTAGCAGTGATTTCTCAGCTTACAAAGTACAAAAAACAAAACCTTGGATAAAAATTTTAACAGCTTTTTTATTTATATTTTGTCTTTTTTATTTCTTTTGCTGTCCTTCCCTTTCATTCTTTTATTTTTCAGATTTTCTTTAACATTATCATATTTTGAGGAGATATTTAATTTTTAAAAAATTATTATAAAGGTGATATGTGCAGAGGGGTTGCAGTTATATAAGTCAATGAAAGAGTACATTTCTTTTTGGACAGTACCATGGTAGATATTTCTTTTTTGGGGGGAGGTCTAGTTGTGGGGCCTTAACTCTGGGCCCTGGGTGCTGTCCTTCAGCTCTTCAGCTCAAGACTAGCGCTCTACCACTTGAGCCACAGCGCCACTTCTGGCTTTTTTCTTTTTGCTTATGTTGTGCTGAGGAATCGAACCCAGGGCCTCATGCATGCAAGGCAAGTGCTCTACCATTGAACCACCTTCCCAGCCCCTAGATATTTCTTGGTAAGCAATTTATTACTTAGTTCTTGATTTTTTTTTAACTTTTTAAAATTTTTGCTGATCCTTGGGCTTCAACTTTTAGGGCCTAGGAACTGTCCCTGAGTTTTTTTGCTCAAGGCTAATGTTAGGTTTTTAAAAGAGGTTGCTGAGTAAGAACCACACCAGGCACGTGTATTCAGGTAAGGGATAGGTTTATTCATCGGTCGGGCTGGCACCAGGTCATGTGTGCACTCCACTTGTCTGGGAAAGGCCTGGGAAAGATAGCTTCTGGCCCTGGGGTAGGCCTTATCTAGGGTAGAGGAGGGGAAAGGTGTGGCCACATGGAATCCAGATGTGACCTCAGCGGATGCAGATGTGACCTCTTCCAGGTGTGCCAGTTGCCTAGGTAATGCAGGTACTGGGTGGAGACTTTGCTGCAAGGAGGGTAGTCTGCTGGCCTTCCAGGAGCGGACCTTACAGCAAACACTCTACTACTTGAGCCACAGCCCCACTTCCACTGACTTCTCTGCCTGTCTGGCTTCAAATTGCAGTCATACATCTGAGCCTCCTGAGTAGCTAGGATTACAGGTGTGAGCCACTGGTGTTTGGCTAGTTCTTGATTTTAAATTGTGGTCATAGTACTCTCAAAGACTTATTGAAAAATATGATATTAATGTAACTTTAACAACCACAGATACCGGGAAGCAATTCAGAAGTGGGATGAAGCACTACAGTTAACTCCCAATGATGCTACCCTCTATGAGATGAAATCACAGGTAATTATAAAGAATTTCATTCTTTATGAAATTGTGCTTTGTTTGGTGAGCATTGATGTGCCAAAATATTTTCTGTTCAAATAAAATTTATTTAACTTTAAAAATCATATTATTTATGGGAATTAAATATTCTTTTGGCCTGGTGTTAGTGGCTCACACCTGTAATCCTAGTTTCTCAGGAGGCTGAGGATTATGGTTCAAAGCCAGACTAGGCAGAAAACTCTGTGACTCTTATCTCCAATTAACCAACATTCCTCCCCCCGCCAAAAAAAAAGCAGGAAATGAAGCTGTGGCTCAAGTGGTAGAGCACTAGCCTTGAGCAGAAAAACCTCAGGGGCAACACACACACACACACACACACACTCCTAACAAATTTTTTTAAGATGGTGAGTCCACACACACACACACACACACACACACACACACACTCCTAACAAATTTTTTTTAAGATGGTGAGT